CAATCACGCTGCGCACAAGGGCGCGAGGGGCGGGCTCCCCCGTATCCAGGGGAGTCAACCAGCAGGCCGCGAGGAGAGAGGGCCCCGAAAACCCAACCGTCGATAGGCAGCAGCTGAATGGGGGCGCCCAGCTGCCCCCAGAAAGGGAGGACAGCGCACGCCGCCTGCTGCAGGAAATCACGGAGATCCGCGCGCAGGTAGCAAGCGACAGCATACCGAACAACATGACCTGGAGCAGGGTCCTGGCCCCCTTCATTTGGGAATCAGCCACAGAAGGGGGACGAAGCACCCTTGAACGCGTCCACGAGGCCGCCGGGATCCCCACCCACATAGTGGCGCATGGCGCATGCAGCCAGGCGATGGAACGCAATGGGCGTCTCCACCCTACGGGGGGCGCGCCACCGCCTCGGGCTTGAAGCGGCAACCCTCTCGCACCTGGCTGGAAGAGAGGTCGAGGCCCCCCTTCCAGGGGGATGCATCCACCCAGAACTCCAGGAGCGCACTAGAAGCTGGCTCGACCCCTTCGGATATTTCCAGGAAGGAATCCTGACTGGAGACCGGGCCGCGGTGGAAAGGGGGGCGCAGGCTCGACTCGCCAGGGCGAGCGCCAGAAGCGGCAATGAAGGTGTCGGAGGAGTGGGGGGTCGCCCCCTCCCCCCCCCAGTCGAAGGAGGGACGCAGTGCACCGCGACCTTTTGGCGCGAAGACATCAGGTAAGTACTCGGCGAGGACCCCGGCAACTGCGACAGGTCCTCCGCCCAGCCACACCGCAGAAGGGGGCGCGCTGCGCGCTCTCATCCGAGCCCTGGGCGCCACTCAGAGAGACGATGAGGCCGCAGGAAGAACCAGGCAACACTGCATCGACCGCAGCTCCTACAGCGGCGCTGACGCGCAGCTAGCGGAGGGCCTCCTGAGAGAGGCCAGGTCGCACCTCGAACCGGGAAGCTGGATATCCAGGGCCATGTGGCTGCGCCTGGCACCGCATTACACCCCCCTCCTTCGACCTGTGCTCCAAGTACGAGGCGTGGACGCCATGCCGTTCGAGGTCCTCGCCAGATGGCTGCAGCTAGTAGGCATCCACGCGCCCAACGACATCAGAGGCGTATTGGGCGAAGGTGAGGAGCGGGCCCCCAATGCGCATGCCCCCTTCGGAAACAGCCAGATCCGCCTCCTCCTGCGGACCACGGGGCTCAGGGCATGCCTAACTGAGGAGGAAGCGGCCTCGACAACCCGCCTACTCATAGAGAGCCTGGGCACCTATCTCCAACGCAACTGACCCGCCTGGGGACGCCGAAAGGGTGCTCAGGGCAGGCGAACCAGAGCCCATGCCAGGATGGGACGCAGGTGGAGACGCACAGGCTTGCACCATCTGCACGGGGGACTTCGACGGGGCGGCGGAAGTCCTCATACTCTGTGGACACAGATTCCACAAGCACTGCCTTGACCGCTGGAGGCAGAGTCAGCCCGGGATCTTCAGGGGGGGAGGGAGCTCCATGCCAATTCGCTGCCCCCACTGCAGAGCCAATGACAGAGGCAGCGTCTCCGCCCTTCTCCCTGGAGCCCCGCCCCCCTCGGAACCGCAGGGGATGCTCCAGCTCAGGGGCGGGCTCTCGGCGCCCATAGGGCCCCCCATCACGTGCCGGGAGCTCGCGGCCGCAACGCATGCCCAAGCCAAGGAATTGGACTGCCTAAGGGCCGACCTGGTCTCTATCCGGAGACCTAGCACCTACATCGCAGTTCGCGACATGCAAAGGATGCACGAGCAGATCGCTGCCCGCAGGCCCCCCCCCCCCCCCCGGGAGACCCTTAAAAACATAAAAGATCTTTAAAACATGATGATATTTTAAACAATAGCGAGCTCGATGGCGCTATTTTTTTACAATCCGGCATTTGTTTTACAGCCCGGAGGGCCCGGTGAAACAACAAAACCTGTTTTGCAACCTTTGCGTTTTGGTGGATTGTTTTTTTTAAATGTTTTCTTACAATGTTTTATTTTCTTTTACAACCTTTTATTTGTTTTTACAGCGTTTTATTTCGTCTTGCAATTTCATATTTTTGGGGACCCGGAAGCCCCCGTAACAAAAATAAGCGCTCATTTGTTTCTGCAATCTTTTATTTTTACCTAGCAGTTTTTGCTGATAGGCTTCTAGTGGTGTCAAAAGAGAGCAGCAGATGACTCCACGGGGGGGTCGGGGCGGGACCCGGGGAGCTGTGTCCGAACTCGTGTCCGAATGCGTTTTTCGCAAACAGTCACACACTTCGTGCTCTTCGACCTCCCAGAACTCCATTCCCGGGCCGCATTCTGAATGCCCGGAGCCAACTGTAGGCCACTTCGTGCTCTTCGATTTCCCAGAACTCCATTCCTGGGCCGCATTTTGGATGCCCGGAGCCAACTGTAGGCCACTTCGTGCTCTTCGTGTTCCCAGAACTCAATTCCCGGGCCACATTTTGGATGCCCGGAGCCAACTGTAGGCCACTTCGTGTTCTTCAAGTTCCCAGAACTCCATTCCCGGGCTATATTTTGAATGCCCGGAGCCAACTGTAGGCCACTTCGTGTTCTTCTAGTTCCCAGAACTCCATTCCTGGGCCACATTTTGAATGCTGAGGCAGGCTGATGCTGCGAAGGCTGAGGCTGAGCAGGCTGAGGCTGAGGCCGAGGCTGAAGGCAGACTGAGGCTGAGGCTGAGGCTGAGGCTGAGGCTGAGGCTGAGGCAGGCTGAGGCTGAGGCTGAGGCTGAGGCTGAGGCTGAGGCTGAGGCAGGCTGAGGCTGAGGCTGAGGCTGAGGCTGAGGCTGAGGCTGAGGCTGAGGCTGAGGCTGAGGCTGAGGCTGAGGCTGAGGCTGAGGCTGAGGCTGAGGCTGAGGCTGTGAGGCTGAGGCTGAGGCTGAGGCTGAGGCTGAGGCTGACTGTGAGGCTGAGGCTGAGGCTGAGGCTGAGGCCTGCGAATTGCCGCTGCGACTGTCATCGCGAATGCGACTACGACTGCGAGAACAGCAGAATTCTACAATTGGATTTTCATCTGAATCTTAAGGGGAATGCTTTTACATATCGCTGTTAGGTTGCTTTGCCGGGATATTTTTTCACAACCCGGAGCTCGCCCCAGACCTCGAAGAACCTTAGCCCGAACCTTAACCCCAACCCTAACCCGAACCCTCAACGCTAACTCTAAACCCGCGACCGAACCCTAGCCCCAAACCCAAACCCCCACCCAAACTGTAACCCTTAATCCTAGCTCTAAACCCTACCCCTGAATCCAACCCGAGCTCTAAGCCGAAGCCCGACCCCTAACCCAAACCCTGATCCCTAAATCTTTAATCCTTATAATAATTAACCCTAAAGCCCGCTAAACCGGCCGCTATGTAAGACGGCCTTTCTCCTATGCAAAAAATATTATTTCCTGATCATGCGATCAGAAAACCTTATTGTTTTACCATGCGTTGTGCCCCGGCCCGGGTCGCAACGCCGGCCTTTCCATTGCCAACATATTATATCCTGATCATGCGATCAGAAAACCATAGTTTTTTACAATGCAGAATGCCCGGCCCGGGTTCGCAACGCCGCATGTAAACCCGGGTTTTATATTGTAAAAAATATGATAAACTCAAGATTCTGTTTTTGCAAGATGTGTCCATGCTCATATTCCATTGCAAAAAATACGACAAAGTGCACGCGCGCGGCGGCCGCGCGATCATTGCGAAATCTTTTGAAACTCAATGTGTTTTCAATGTTTTTCAGGAGCGATATCAGCAAAACATATGAAACATATGATTTTCTTATCACAATTGTGCAGGACAGCTCTCCGCGCGCATCCTGAATCATTGAAGAACCAAGATTCCCCAGAGGCTCTCAACGCCTGAAGGGGCGCCAGGGGCGCACGGGCTATCAAGGGCTATCGGAGGCTTCCAGGGGCTCCCGCGGCCGGTGCCAGGGGTTCCTGTGTACTAAAGGGTTCTCACCGGTTCCAGGGGGGCTCCCAGGAGCTTCTACAGGCTTCGAAGCTGGGGCTGGGGTCAAATGGGTTCGCAGGGGCCTCATTGTTTTTTCAGTATTCCTGGAGGCTCCCAGGGGCTATCGCGGTCGTGTCCGGGGCTCTCTGTCTTCCAAGGGGATCTCAGAGGCTCCCATGAGGGTTACCCAGATGTTTCCAAGGCCTCCCTTGTGTTTAATCGTTTTTTAAGGGTTTCCAGGTGCTCTCAGGGGCTCTCAGGGTTCCCGGGTGTTTTGGGAAGTTCCCAAGCATTTAGAAAACGTTGTTATAGCAAGGCCGTCGCATAACATAGCACAGCATACCAGCTCGAAGATCTGATGTTATAGGAACCTCATGTTATGGCGTGGCTGTATCATAGAAACGACGAAAGACGCGAGGTTCTCCAACATCTAGGGACCCAATGTTATAGCGTGGCCGTGACATAATGTAGCACAGCATAGCAGGTCGTTGACCTGAGGTTCGAGGACTCGGATCGTATAGCGTGGCCATGCAATAATATACCACACCATACCAGCTCCAGGATCTGATACTATAGACACCTCATGCTATAGCATGACAATAGGGATATCAAAGCACCTACGTCAGACGCGAGGCTCCCCTGAATTCGGGGAGCCTCCATTGTAGCGTGGCTATGGCATAACATAGCACAACATAACAGCACCAGAGCTTAGAAGACCTTGATAGTATAACCTGACATCTTCCGAAACATAGAAAGTGGTCCAAGATCCAGGGTTCAAAGCTACATAACGAAACGTGGTCCCAGCAGAGGCCGCATTGCAGACAAGCTGGCCCATGAGCGACCAGACTGCAATATGACACATGGATAGCCAGCCTAGATTTTTTTCCGAACCATAACCACAGAGGTCCGGGAACAAGCGATAGGTTCCCTGACACTTGCATTCAGAAACATTCATGCCACATGAGTACGCCACGAGGTCGCATACACGGCGAGACGAAACCGCCAGCGCGCTGATGTATACGAACGTGAATGGAGTGACACCCCATAGTATCATCACCAACCAATTCGCCCGAGCATGTGGTCCCGCATGTTCGCGCCCATAGCCGTGGACGAATCGTCGGAGTCCGATGTCGACTCGCTGTCCGACTCGCTGTCCGCCATAGCCCAGGCATCCGTCTCCTGCTCCCGGACGGCTACCTGATGATGGAGTAGCCGCCAGGCCAGCTCAAAGTCCCACAACCTCCGGCCCATGACCATGTAGTAGTTCTGAGAGCTCTGCACTATAGCCATGAGCCATGGTGCTTCACGGCGGTCCACGAGCAAGGCAATCGAGCGGCACAGCACAGGATGATAGCAGATGCTGACCAGCGTCAGCGGCATTGCTGAACACGAGACCGTGATAGTCTAGAAATTAGCAAATGACGCGGTCGGCCCTCCTCAGGACGGCCACGCTTGACCCAAAGAGACTACGGATAGTGTTCTGCTATAGCGCTCGGACGCGTGCCCCAGCATGCCGGGCGCTTGCAAGAAAACCAAAACACCGGCTGGCGTGAATACGCGACCGTACGTTCAGCATAGAGATCCATGGCCGCGGACAGTCTCGCCCGTTGGGGTCCCGCCCGTTAGGGTCTCGCCCGACCCGCCCGTTAGGGTCCCGCCCTTTAGGGTTCCGCCCCCGTCAGGGTTAGCCTCCCGCTAAGCGCTTGCTCTGCTATGCTATGCTATGCTACAGCCACGGTATAACATGAGAGGAGAGATGATCTTTATGTGGGGGTGGAGATGCGGTGGGGATTGATAGCCACCGCAGGTGAGTGCCTATGCAGGTAGGTATTATTGGCCTTGCCCTGTTAGACCCTAAACCCTAAACCTTAAACCCTCAAGACGAAAAACACAACGCACTGGCCAGCCCGAGCGATACCATGACGAACGATGCAGCGAGCCTGGCGCAAGTTTGCGCGAGCGCTCCGCGCGAGCCGGCACGAGCGGGACGCCTCCGGATGGGGCCCGACAAGCATGCCGTGCGAGCTGGCGCGAGCAGGAGCGAGCCTGAGCATTCTAAAGAGCGAGCGCGAGCGGGCGCGCCTCCGCAGCGGCCCGAAAGGCGGTCCGTGCGAGCCGGCGCGAGCGGGAGCGGCTCCGGAGCGGCCCGACAATCATTCCGTGCGAGCTGGCACGAGCGGGAGCGGCTCTGGAGCCCGACAATCATTCCGTGCGAGCTGGCACGAGCGGGAGCGGCTCCAGAGCGGCCCCAAGCATTCCGTGCGAGCCGGCACGAGCAGGAGCGGCTCCGGAGCGGCGCGCCAAGCATGCCGTGCGACTTTGCGCGAGCGGGAGCGGCTCCGAGGTGGCCGGACAAGCGCTCCGCGCAATCCGTCGCGACGCGAATCCTACGTGTTTTACGAAGGAAGCGGGTCCGAAGCGAGCCTGCTAAGCGCACCCCGATTGAGCCCGCTGCAAACCCCGCGAACGCTAATACGTAGTGTAAGCCCTAACCCTAGGCCGAACCCGAACCCGAACCCGAACCCGAACCCAAACCCAAACCCAAACCGTAACCCTAACCCAAACCCTAACCCAAACCCTTAACCCAAACCCTTAACCCAAACCCTTAACCCAAACCCTTAACCCTTAACCCTTAACCCTTAACCCTTAACCCTTAACCCTTAACCCTTAACCCTTAACCCTTAACCCTTAACCCTAACCCTAACCCTAACCCTAACCCTAACCCTAACCCTAACCCTAACCCTAACCCTAACCCTAACCCTAACCCTAACCCTAACCCTAAACCCTAACCCTTAACCCTTAACCCTTAACCCTTAACCCTTAAACCTTAACTTAAACCTTAAACCTTAAACCTTAAACCTTAAACCTTAAACCTTAAACCTTAAACCTTAAACCTTAAACCTTAAACCTTAAACCTTAACCCTTAACCCTTGACCCTTAACCCTAACCCTAACCCTAACCCTAACTTCCCAAGCACCTCGTTGTGCTTCTGCCCACCCCACCGCGCATCACCGTCGCCGTCTACGAGAGACAGGGCACCTCTGAGATGTCTGAGCATGTTGCCCGAGTGGCTCGCCTTGGCAGCTTTTGCTGCTGCCCTCCCCCTCTTTTGGGGATTCGCGCTTCAACGATAAACCTCCCCCTGATCCTCGAAGAATACAACACCCTAAACCCAAAGACCTTTTCTTCGAAGTGGCGCCGGGGGCGCTTGGGGGCGCCTGGGACCGCGGAGCGCCTGGGAGCGCTTGGAACGCATTTGGGAATTTAGGGGCCAACGGCCCTAAACCCTAAACGGCTTTAGTTTGGGAGGTTGCCGGCCATGCGGCCGGGGGTGGGAAGATGTTGCACCTCCTGCCCCCTTCGCCAAGCTTGCTCGGGTCGGCCAACCGCCCCCCCAATCAAGCTTGCCGAAGGGGGGGCAGCATTGCCTGGACTGTCGGCCGCTGCGCTAAGAGAAGCCCTAAACCCTAACCCTAAACCCTAACCCTAACCCTAACCCTAACCCTAACTCGAGCATGCATCGCTGTCGGGATGCCCCAGACGCATGCGAGCCTTGGTCGGAACGTTCAGTGGAGCGCCTGGAGAATCTACGGAAAGGGAGAGGTTAAGCTCGACCGCCGCGCTCCCCGGTGCTCCCAAGCGCTCCTAGGCGCTCCCAGGCGCTCCCAGGCGCTCCCAGGCGCTCCCCGGCGCTCCCAGGCGGCCCAGGCATCGCCAGCGTAACATGGGCGACAAGGTGCGACACCTCCTTGGCCGGCAAACCGCTGCGCGTGCGCCACCGCGCAGAACCGCTCCTGCGAGAGTCGGAAGAGATCGCCCGGTCGGGCGTTCCCCAACGCGCGAACTAAACCTGGAGGCTGTTCCCCAATGCGTTACAGCGCCTGCGCGTTCTCAGGTAGGACGACGTGGTGTTCGACACCCCCATGAGTGGGGGCTGGGGGGAAGAACTCTCTGTGTCCCTAAACCCTAAAAGAGAATAGCCGGGGTGGATTGGGGCGGGAGGACAAGCAACGCGAGCGCGCACACAGCATCCCACCCCCAACAATCTTGATGTGGGGGTGGGATGCGTGCGCGCGCCCGCACCGCTTTGCGGGCAACACCTTAAAACTAAGAGCTTATATAAGATTTAAATCAAAAAATCCTTTCCGCCGCCCTAAAGTCCCTCCTTCGGCCGCCCCCCCCCCCCCCCCATTTTGGCGCACCCCTCACGCAGACCCTTGCCCTCGGAGCGCCGGGAATGGCGTTCTGGAAGGACCTGCAAATCCCAGGGTGCGCCCCTTAGATCCTTGGCCTCGGAGCGCCAGGAATGGCGTTCTGGCCCGATCCGCAAATCCCAGGACGCACCCCTCATGCAGATCCTTGCCCTCGGAGCGCCAGGAATGGCGTTCTGGGAGGATCTGCAAATTCCCGGAGTACCGGGAGTGGCGTTCTGGGAGAGTCTGCGAAAGTGCAGGGTACTCCCTTCGCCCAGACTTGTGGCAGACGTTCATGGCCTCGGTATGCCAGGCATGGCGTCCGCACTGTCCTTCGCGAAAGGTACGGGCGCGACCTCGACCCTTTCGGGTTGAGAGCCGCCCCCGTGCCCTTCCCCAGGGGCCGCCCCGCCGTCTTTGCGCGGCCGCGTCGTCGTCGTTGTGAAAACAATATCAACGTCGTCGTCATCGGTGTCGTCCTCGTCGTCGTTTTGCGAGTCGCGTGTTGATACCGCATCGAGATCAATCTGTCTTGGGTCATGGGTGGGTGGGACACGGTCAAGTGGGCTGCAAGTTTGGGCTAGTGGACCCTAAACCCTAAACCCTAAACCCTGTGACGGCCACCGCAGGTGGGTTCGCGGTCACGTTGTACTCGTGGCCACGCCTAGTAGACCCTAACCCCTAAACCCTAACCCTAAACCCTAACCTTAACCCTAACCCTAGACCCTAAACCCTAAACCCTAAACCCTACCCTAAACCTTTAATTCCCAAGCACCTCGTTGTGCATCTGCCCACCCACCGCGCATCACCGTCGCCGTCTACGAGAGACAGGGCTTCTCTGAAATGCTTCAGCTGGTTGCCCGACTGGGTCGTCCTGGTAGCCTAGGGCTACCTAACCCCACGCTTGGGGATCTACGATGCAAAGATCAACCATGCTTGATCCTCGAAGAATACAACACCCTAAACCCGGGGATGTTCGTCCTCTGGTTCCGCTCTACATGTCTCCGACACGTAAAAACACGTGTGGGGCGCTCTAAGCACTTCTGGGCGCATTTGTTTGGGAGCGCCTGGGACTGGGAGCGCTTGAGAGCGCCTGAGAGCGCCGGGGAGCGCCTGGGAGCGCCTGGGGGCGCCGGGGAGCGCCTGGGAACGCCTGGGAGCGCGGGAAGCGCCGGGGAGGGCCTGGAAGCGCCAGGAGCGCCTGGGGATGCCTGGGAGCTCCGGGGAGCGCTTGGGAGCGCCAGGGAGCGCTTGGGAGCGCCGGAGAGCGCCGGAGAGCGCCTGGGAGCGCCCGAGAGCGCCTGGGAGCGTCTGGGAGCGCCTGGAAGCGCTTGGGAGCGCCTGCGAGCGCATGGGAGCGCCTGGGAGCGCCAGGGAGCGCCTGTGAGCGCTTGGGGCCATTTGGGAATTTAGGGGCCAACGGTTCTAAACCCTAAAAGGCTTTAGTTTGGGAGGTCGCCGGCCATGCGGCCGGGGGTGGGAAGATGTTGCAACTCCTGCTTGCTCGGGTCGGCTAACCGCCCCCCCAATCAAGCTTGCCGAAGGGGGGGCAGCATTGCCTGGACTGTCGGCCGCTGCGCTAAGGGAAGCCCTAAACCCTAAATACCCAAGCACCTCGTTGTGCTTCTGCCCACCCCACCGCGCATTACCGTCGCCGTCTACGAGAGACAGGGCATCTCTGAGATGCTTGAGCATGTTGCCCGAGTGGGTCGCCTGGGCAGCTTTTGCTGCTGCCCTCCCCCTCTTTTGGGGATTCGCGCTTCAATGATAAACCTCCCCTGATCCTCAACGAATACAACACCCTAAACCCAAATACCTTTTCTTGTGACTGACGCCTGGGAGCGCCTGGGAGCGCCTGGGGGCGCTTGGGAGCGCCTGGGAGCGCCTGGGGGCGCCTGGGAGCTCCTGGCAGCGCCTGGAAGCATCTGGGGGCGCCCGGGAGCGCCTGGGAGCGCCTGGGAGCGCTTGGGAGCGCTTGGGAGCGCATGGGAGCGCCTGGGAGCGTGCCGGGAGCGTGCCGGGAGCGCTTGGGAGCGCTTGGGAGCGTGCCGGAAGCGCTTGGGAACGCCTGGGACCGCTTGGGAGCGCTTGGGAGCGCCTGGAAGCGCTTGGGAGCGCTTGGGAGCGCCAGGGAGCGTCTGGGAGCGTCTGGGGCGCATGGGCGCGCCTGGGAGCGCTTGGGAGCGTGCCGGGAGCGCCTGGGAGCTGGGAGCGCCTGGGTGCGCCTGGGGGCGCTTCGGAACGTCTGGGACCGCTTGGGAGCGCTTGGGAGCGCGCCAGGAGCGCCTGGGATCGCCAGGTAGCGCTTGGGAGCGCTGGGGAGCGCTTGGGGGCGCCGGGGAGCACCGGGGAGCGCCTGAGCGCCCGGGAGCACCTGGGAGCGCCTGGGAGCGCCTGGGGGCGCCTAGGAACGCCTGGGAGCGGTTGAGAGCGCGGGAAGCGCTTGGGAGCGCCAGGGAGCGCTGGGAGCGCTTGGGAGTGCTGGGAGCGCCAGGGAGCACCTGGGAGCGCCAGGGAACGCCTGGAAGCGCTCGGGAGCGCCGAGCGCCTGGGAGCGCCTGAGAGCGCCTGGGGGCGAATGGGAGCGCCTGGGAGCGCCTGGGTGCGCCTGCGAGCGCATGGGGGCGCCTGGGAGCGCTTGGGAACGCCTGGGAGCGCTTGGGGCCATTTGGGAATTTAGGGGCCAGCGGCCCTAAACCTTAAAAGGCTTTAGTTTGGGAGGTCGCCGGCTATGCGGCCGGGGGTGGGAAGATGTTGCAACTCCTGCTCCCTTCGCCAGGCTTGCTCGGGTCGGCTGACCGCCCCCCCAATCAAGCTTGCCGAAGGGGGGGCAGCATTGCCTGGACTATCGGCCGCTGCGCTAAGAGAAGCCCTGAACCCTAAACCCTACTCTGAGTACCTCAATAGTTCTGGGGTGCGCAATAGTCCGGGGGCGGCCCCTGTAGTCCGGGGGTTGGGCCCCTGTAGTCCGGGTTTGGGTTTTTTGGGGGCCCTTGTAGTCCGGGGGGGGGCCCTTGTAGTCCGGGGGGGGGGCCCTTGAAGTCCGGGGGGGGGTCCACTGAAAATCATATCGTCGCCCCTCAGTGCTCCCTTCCCCCTCCCGCCCCCTTTCGCTTTTCAAGTTTTGTTCCTCGTTTCCTGTCCCTTGTCAAGTTGTTGTCCCAAGCTAGAAGCACGGTGGGAAGTGTGGAAAGGGGGCGAAGGGGGGAGAGTGCGTTTTGTCAAGCACCAGGCGCGCAGCCTAAGCCCAAAGGGCTACGGAAGGAGTCCGAGCCCTACCCACGGCTAAACCCGAAGAGCGGGGGAGGAGAGGTCGAGAGGAAAAGGGACCGGGGACCCTCGAGGACCAGAGGGTCACCGGGACCCCACGGACCTCCGGGACCCGGACCCCGGGGCCCGAGGGGGACAGCGGGCCAAACTTTGGCGGGTTTAGCGAGCTCGAGGCTCGCTCCCGCCAGGCGGCCGGGCGCCCCGGCCTCCTTGCTGGGCGCTCCGGCCTCCATGCTGACGTAGGCCGGGATCTGGCGCGCGGGTGTCTGCGGTCGCCCGCGCGCTGGGCCTCCTCCTCCTCCTTCTCCTCCTCCGCCCCTCACCTCACTCGTGTTCTTGTCTCTTCCTGGGCGCTCCTCCACCTCCTCCTCTACCTCCTCCTCCTCCTCTTCCTCCTCTACCTCGGGGAGCCCTGGGCCCCTCCTCACCTCAGCTGACTCGATCTTCGGGGACTCGACCTTAGCTGCTAGCTCGAGGGCGCGCCTACTGGCCCCGCGGGACCTGCTCTTTAGGGCCTCGTTGAGGGCCCTCTCCGTCAAATGACCGTGTTCGTCCACTAGGGACAGGGTTCCTCTGCAAAGCAAATCATGCAACGCAAGGTTACCACGGGAAGGGTCCATCTTCGTGAGAGGATCGGCGGGCATCCTAGCGTGGGGCATCCACCGCACTTGAGACCCTATCGAGCACAAAGCATCTCGAATCACAGCAAGTTCGATGGCGTTTCTCCTGTCAGCCCTCGAGCCCGCTGAGTTGCGAGAGAGGGTGTCGAACACCGACTTCGCATCCACGACAGAAAGACAGGAGGCGGCCTCGCTGAGCTGACAGTCCTTGGACATCACGACCGTGAAAGGGGCCTGTCCATTAAACCAGTCGGGCCTCGAAACGTCATTAAAAACAGCGTCCCTGAACAAAACTTGCAACCATTGAGCCTCGGCGGTGGCAGCGGACAGGGCCAACGTCTCCGCGGCCACCGTGCTAGCGACGGCTCTCTTTATCCTCTGGGAGCGCCAAGACAGCACACTAACCCTTGACCGTTTGTTCTGACGGATGCTGCCATCGGCAGCCATGACGATCCACGCTCCCTGGGCTCCACCTCGCCGAGCAGTTCCCGGGCCTCCCGAATCGCTCGCCGTGACGAAGGTGAGGGAAACCGGATCCAGGGACCAGAGGGTAAGCTTTTGCTCACACGACCCCTTGAGAAACTTAACCACTTTGATCAGAACGAGAGCATCGGAGATCAGGGGAGAGGGGAGGGCAGCGGCTAAGAGGGAAGCACTACCGGCCACGTCCGGGCGGCTCTCGCGCGCCAACCACTGCACCTGAGCAGCAACAGTACGATAGGATGAAATCTCATCTTTTGAGAGGGGCAGCTCAGGGCTGGCTCGCCTCTCTCGATCTAGATGCATCTGGCTCAGTTGCTCACGTATGTACTTCTCCTGATCAACCGTAATGCGGTCGGCGTGCTGCACGACCCTCCGGCCCGCATACTCAGACTCGCTCTCCTTCCACTTGCCAAAGCAAAAGCGCTTACACAGGGCGTCCCTCAAAGGTCCCATCACGTCATCTCGACCCGAGACGATGAGATCATCCACCTCAATTAAAACTAGGGCCTCGAGCCGGTCAAGCTTCCCGCGCTTGACCCACAAACAAGGCTCCAGCAGCGACTTGGTGAAACCTTGGCTGCCCAACCATTCGGTCAGAGTGCGATGCCACAGCAATGGCGCATCGTTAAGACCGTATACTGGGGCCACGAGTTCGATGAGCTGCTCCGAGGGGATACTAAGCCCCTGACAGGGCTCCACGAAGATGGCCCCATTGGGCCTGCGAAGACGATCCGACTGGCAGAAAGCATTTTTGGCGTCCGCAACGTGCAAACGCCACCCCATGGACGCGACAATCTGGAGAGTCACCATAATGCTTTCCGATTGGGGGGTCGGGGCATATACGGCAAGAGACTCACCATCTGGGTCCTGGTGCCCGTGAACACACCAGCGGCTCTTGGCCTTGGGGGCCGCTCCCACCCCCTCTTGCGGCTTTAGCCGTCGAACCATTCTGGACGAAAGAATCCGGTCAGGAAACCTCCTCCTCGCCAGCCGAGATTCTTCGGCGGAAAGAACACGCACGGCCCCGGACCCGAGGATGGCCTCCCACTCGGACTTATCCGACACGAGAAACTGCTGGCGCTCGGAGGGGGAGAGGTGCTTCCAGACCACCTCGGCTCCACGAGGCTTCACTGGGGGCCCCGCGTGAGCAAGGCCAGAGAAGGTTGTCTCCGTGAAACCAGCCCATTCAAGCAGCTCCTGCAGGAGGGCCTCGTCTTGCCAGTCGTCCCCGTCGCCTTCCAAGGTGGCCCAGCTGGGGGCCTCTGGGGCCCGGTCGGCAGCTCGACCCTCCGGGGTCCTAGACCGAGCTCTGGCTCCCATGGGACCCTCCAGCACTTGGGGGGCCGGAGCCGCCGGGGCGGCGGACGAAACCCTGGAAGCCCGGGGAAGCGAGACGTCTCGACACAGAGGGCGCACTCGGCCTCCGACTGGGGTAGGCCCATGAGGACCCGGAGCCGTGCCCCCGGAAAGCCCTGACTCTCGCTCGAGGACCATCCTGGCAACGCGAGGCCCTCCCCCAATGTCCTCGGCAGGCGTGAGCCTGGGAGCCACTCGTCGCTCACCAGGCTGCTCCGACCTCCGAGCCTCAGCACCACGCAAGACCGGCGGCTCCGAGCCCGGAGCGAGAGCAAGCTCTGCACTGCCAGCAGGCGGAACTCCGCCGAGAGCGGCAGACCCGGACGCCTCAGACGTCACGCGACCGATGGAACTGGCGGGGAGGGGAAGTTCGGTGTCAGCCTCACTGGGCACGGGAGCCAATCTAGGAGCAACTGACGACATCGGGGGGGCTGGCGGAGCGGTCACGGCAGGATCCAGGTTCCTCGTGGCCGGTGATGGTTGAAGCTGGTCCCCCTGCTCGGCCCGATCATGGGCCTCTTGAGGCGGAGGGCCCTCTGAGGCCACGTCCACCGCACCGATGCGCCCCCCCGGGGCCCTGACCCGCTCCCGCAGAGCGTCAAACCTTTCCGTGTCCAAAAGCTCGGCCCCTAGGGCCTCCTGACGGGTCGCGGGCCTGACTTGCTCCTCAGAACACTTTAAAAGCCGAGTCCGCATGGCGACCCAGACCGTGCTGCCGGTCTGATGCACCACAACTCCCGGGCCCGTCCAACGATCACGCTGCAAATTGTGAGAGCGGTTCGTGGCGGTGACGCGTCTCCACACGTACACCCACTCGCCGGGCTTAAACACCTTATCTGAGTGTAGCCGGCCTCGCGAGGCTTCAGAGAGGCGAGACCGAGCGTCCATCGAGGCGAGAGCTCTCCTGGCTTCTTCCCGAACCCGATGGCGACGAGCAAACTCAGCCGCCGCGGAGTCCCCGTCGGGACCCTCCCGGAGCACATCCTCACAACCAACGAGATCCATGGCGTCATCACTGAGGAGGGCCCGAGGGATCCGGGGGTTACAACCGAACACCAGCTGCGTGGGACTGAAACCACCTCGATGGTACGACCGATTCTTGTGAGCGACGCACTGAGCCAGGATCTCCTCAACCTCGACGGCCGCGGAGGGGTTGAGGGCCAGCGACGCCTTAGACAGGGCGTCCTTCAAAATCCCCCCGTGCCTCTCACATTTCCCGTTCCAGTGGGGGGAGTTCGCTGGGACGACCTGGTGGAACACTCCCTCGTGCTCGCAGCCACGGCTGAATTCGCGCTCGAACTCCCCGCCCCCGTCCGAAACCACAACCTCTGGGACACCAAATGGCCTGATCCACCACTGAAGGAAAGCCCTCCAGGTCACTAGAGCCGTGTCGTTGGGGAGAAGGCATGCCTGCTGATATGACGTCCCATGGTCAATAATGTTCAACACTGGAGCCGAGTGGCCGTCGACCTCTATGTAGAATAGATCGACCGCCACAACCTTATTGAACTGATAAGTGCGAGGAATGTGGGCGTGCCTTCGCCAGTGTGGTCTAGCATGAGCCTCACATGCTGAACATCTGAACTCCTCCTTAACCCACTTGAGAACATCTTCTCTCGCGCGGGCGACTCGGAGAGTACGCAAAAAGTCGGAGCGATTCGGATGACCCAGGTTAACATGCAGCTTGTGGACCTCCTGCTGCAGAGCTGGCTCCAGCTCGGTACTAGGTCGGCCCCCAGAGGCCTCCGACACCGGGACCCCCCGGACCGAGCGTCGAGGCGGAGGTCTCGTTTCCGGCTCGTCTTGATCTGACTCGCCTTCGTCCCCCGGCACCTCGGCGGGAAACGAGGGTGGGTCTTCTTCCGAATCACAATCAGAGCGGGCCAGCAGCACCTCCGGGTGATGGTAAACCCACCCGGCAGCCTCAACGCCCATAGCAAGCGCCGCGATCAGAGCATCAGGATACCGCTCAGCAAGACGTGTCCTGTGCCCTCCCTCCAATGGCACATGCTCATGCTGGCCCGAGCACGTGCGAACACAAGGAGACATGAGAGAGTCAGAGTTGCCCACTAAGACGGTTCTCTTCCGGGAAAGCCCCCCACTCTTATCCACGGACAGCCCGAACTCGCATTGGTCGGTACGACGGGTCAAGACCCCCGGGGCCCTCATCACTTCCTGGATAACTCCCAGCTCAAGAGAGCTAGCCCGCTCGGGCTGCTCGAATAAGAAATACCTGCCACGCTGAAGCTGATACTGGGCAATCATGGCACACAACTGCATGTATTCGAGCCCTCGCTGCTCCTCCTCAACGAGCCTGTCGGGATCCATGGTGCCCCAGAAAGGCACCCGAGCGATGCTGAACGCTTTGCAGACAGGAGACATGATGATCACGAGAGGCTCATCCGCAGCGATCCGCCGCCGCAGCTCGCTGCGGCCCTTAGGTGTGCTAAGATCCTTGCCCGTCAGGATGTCGAACGCCGGCGACACGGCGCATCCCCGCCGCCTTAGTTCCTCGGAGACCCGGGGACGCATGAACACCTCCATGACCAGAGTGCCCCCCCTTAAGCCCTCCGCCCGCTGAAGTTCCCGCGCCCTGAGGCGCCGGCCTGCCCTGAGGCCCGGACCTCCTAAGACCCGCGCCGAGGCCTCGCGGACCTTGCGCGGCACCGAGGGCCCCACCAGGGCCTCAGGCACGGCTCCGGCTAGGGCGGCGGCCGCGAAGCGGTCCTCGACAACGTACGAGAGGGTGTCATCTAGGGCCCCCGCCTCCTCCTCTCCTTCCTCCTCTGGCTCTCCTCCTCTAGTCTTCGCCACCTCCTCCTCCAGACCTGACTCGAACCACAGGAAGACCTCAGGGGGGCTGAGCTTCTTCTCAGGAGCGACCCGTGCTTTCGAGATGGCATCATCGATCTCAGCGCTCGTGACTGCGCCCCACGGTTGGCTCAAGAAACTTCGGCCGTCACTGTCCCCGACTTCTATCCACCTGGTCCGGCTTGGGACCGCGCAGCGCGGGGCTCTGCCCCCGCACCTCTCTATAGAAAGAGCCAGGAAAAAATTGGACGCGAGATCGCCCTCCACCGGAGTGCGCTTCCACCCCAGACGAGGCAGAAGATCGGAGGCCTCCAGAAATCTCTGAGCGGACCGGTCCCAAATCCCTTGGATCAAACCTCTGCCGAAAGCATGATCTTCTTTCCTGGACCTGGAATGGTAGACCTGAAGGTTTCGAAGAAACAAGTCCTGGGGCCTCGCGGGCGACGCGCCCGGCTTCCTCAGCGCCTCAAGCGCCTCCAACAGCGGCGCTCCGGCGTCGTTGACGTGCTCCGAGGTGTTCAGCCCGGTCCTCCTGACGCCGAGGACGTGCCCTGCTGCTGCTGCATCTGCGCCTGCATGTTCATCATCATGGCCGCAATCCTCCCGAGATCCTGGTCCGAGAGGCTCGGCGCGGGCAGCTGCGCGCGCATCTCCCTCTCCTGATTGACGAAGCTCTGGACCGTGCCCCACACTCTCTCGTTGGCCTTGGCCTGGGTCTCGATGCAAATCTTCATGTCGGACAGCGCGATCTGCATCTCGGTCGTCGTCATGGGCCGAGCCTCCGAAGGTCCTGGTGGTTTGGCCGTGGCTCCGGCTGCTCGGCTCGCCGCCCTCTGCGCCGAGTAGTCGATCGCCCGGCCTCCTGAGGTGATCATCGTCGGCGCGGCCGCCTCCAGCTGCGCCGGGGAGGGGTGCTTGTAGGGCACGTACCCTTCGCTCACCGGGACGTAAAGGTTCTGGGGAACCGGAGGGATCCCCGCCGCCGACACCTTCGCCGTAGGTCCGCTCCCCTCCTGGATGCGTCGAGCTCGCTGAGGCTCCGGCCCCGCCGTCCACGGATCGGGTGGCAAGATCGGGAAATGGCCGTTCTTGTACGCCTCCACCATCCGAGCTGCCTTCGCCTTGGCATCCGCACGGTTGACCTTGCCCGCCTGCTTGTCGATCTTGCGCTTCTCGGCCTCGAAGATCTCCTCCGACGTCTTGTCCCTCAGAAAGAGGCGCTGGGAGCACTGCCGGCAGTGCTCGTAGACGCTGGTGGAGTTGCTCCCCGACTTGCGAGCCCACGGCGGGTGAG